ATAGACATCTTTTCAACTTTATATTATTTTTAATTCAAATCTCAATTTACAATAAATGTTACGAATATACATCATCGATCAAGTGTTTGCCGCAATGCATCATACTACACTGCCTGTTCATTACTCGTATGACCAGCGTGACGGTATGTATGACAAATGTATACTACATGTGTTTATAACATTGGTTGGTCATTGATCCTGGTTCCAGTATTACTGGAATTTGTTTTGAAAGACATATAGTGGTGTAAACGTCGATTAAAGGTGAAATAATGTATACTGGCTATGATGGAACTGTAGCTGTAAGTTTGTTCGGCAGGAGGGTTTTTTTCCAGGAGAAAAAGCAGAAAAAAAGTTTAAACTGAAGGGCTGACAAAAGCTCCATCACTCGAAAGAGCGAGACAGTAAGTGTTCGGCAGATGCTATTTTCCATGCCTGCATCGTTGAATAATGAAAGTGCTCTGGATGACAATGCGTTTTTCGATGTTTCAATTCCGTGTATTCTCTTTCCTTGTCCTCCCCTCAATTTTCTTTAATTCCAGAGGATAATTGTTATCTACATCTGAAATGTCAAGCTATCCTTTAAATCCACTGTACTGTGGCATCAGGCATCAGTTATCTCCATTATGCAGGTAGATTTGCCTGCTTACTGGTCGGAGCAACAACGTACCTCATACATTTAGGTCTGATTTCAGGGCTAAATGAAGTATCCTAGCTCCGAAATGCAAATAGCAACCATCCTAACGACAAACTGAGAAAAGTTGTATATTATTTAATTAGTATTTCCTTAGACGAACCAGAATGGCAAGCCTTATCCAAGATAGAGTAAAAACTAAAGAGAATAATTAAATAAACGAAAATAGAAAAGAATAAACTCCAGATATATCCAGTCATATATATCACGGCCAATAACAGTACATAACATCGCCCGGTCTTTATAGATTTGTACAGCACACGTATCATTGATTCATTCGTCTATGTACATTGATAGACCTATTACATGTAAGATCGTTTCCTACATGATGAGTATGACACAGACATCCCTATTCGAGGAGATAAGTACAAAACCGAAGCTTTTTATATTCCGACAGACTTATCTAGAGACCAAATAACTTACATTGTGTGTTAATTAAATGGTATACACTATCATCCAACATCATTTAATGTTTATGAGTAACAGATGTCTCATAAACTATCATCGTAATATGTACATGTACGTAAATCATTAAAACAGTCATGCCTGATTTTACACTAGATTAGTCAGAAACAGATAAAATATGTCGATTAATCAGTGGGGAATGGCTAGAAGCGATGTGACATTTAAGTTTATGTTCTGGTATAATCGTCAGCCATGAGAATATTTTTTTTTAATTTCAACTGTAATTGATTTTCATTTGTGTATTAGAAATTTTCACCCCGAATTGAAAACACCTATTGTTTTTGTTTTGTTTCTTCTTATTTCTTATTCCTTTCTCTGATTTACGGTTCACTCTTAATGACAGCAAATTGGTTAATGATCTTATAATATTTTATATGTTTTGGTGTTGGCTGTTCGCGTTGTGCTGTGGGTAGCGCTCTCACCTTTCACCAAGTTGGCCGGGGTTCGATTCCCCAATCGAATGAGAAAAGGTATGGGGTCACCGTCCCGACCACGTGGATTTACTCGGGAAACTCTGGTTTCCTCCCACATTAAGACTCACTGCGCGCTGATATCCGGGCTAATAAGAGTGCTTAGTACAGGTAAAAATCACATTGTTTCATAATTGTTGCGAAAGGAAAATAGAAAAAGAGAGAAAGGGTCAGGTGTTGTCGATAGAACAAAATAAAAAGAAGATTGCTGAATTTATAGTTGATCTGTTTATTTTAAAGCACGTTTTTAAAATATACAATGTATATTATTGTGGATAGAAATGGTAAATCCCGGTGTATGGAAAACTGTAGTGGTCAGAGTTCAAACGTGTTACTTTGGATAACAAATTTAAAAAAAAATCATCTGAAGTTTTAACTGAGTGACTTTATGTCTTGAAAATTGCTATGTAGCTAGCCTTCATGTATGACCATAGTGCACATTCAAGGTCACAGAGGTCAGATAGGTTTTTGCGGGTGAATAAGGCTGCCCTTGACGTTATTTAAGAATTTCCTATCAAATTGTTCATGAAAGTCTGGGTTAGTCAATATTTCTTTGCAAAAATGTTGCGCGCAATGTGATGAATCTTTGCAAATAGATGTTTGATATTCTACAGAACGGACATCCAATATTCTTTTTCACACTAACATATCAGAGGAAACTTCTTTACAAGTCCCATGTAAAATTCCAACTATGCTTTGATTGAGAGCATGTCTCGAATTATTTCTTTCTTTTGCACTTTTTTTTATAACCAAAGTTACCCATATCCTCACTGTCCTGCTATCACAGATTTCGAGAATTACAATGAAATATGATATACCACTGCGTCAACACAAAAAAGCATACAACAACGTCGACGCATTAGGACAAAATGTACCAATGCATCAACACACAAGGACAAAACATACCAGTGCATCAACACACTAGGACAAAACATATCAATGCATCAACGCACAAGGACAAAACATACCAATGCATCAACACACACAAGGACAAACATACAATAGCAACAACACACAAAGACAAAAAGTACAACAGCGCCGCCACAAAAAGGACAAAGGAACCCACAGCGCCAACACACAAGGACAAAACGTACAACAGCAACGCCACAAAAAAGGACAACATAACCGACATCGCCAACACACAAGGTCAACACACACTACAGCGCCAACACAATGTATTTCATGATAGGCAGATAAGACAAAAGGAACTAATGAGAAATCAGCACACTATGTGTAATGTGATCGTTATAATTTTGATTGTAAGGTTTTCGAATGTGTGGTAGGCGTGCACACCAACTTATTTGAGAGGTGAATTTCTGAACATTTAAAATGTAAAATATATATTCAAAGTGCCGATATCATGTTATATGGTTCTATTCGTACACACCATTCGGACATTTTTTATCACTCATACGGCTCTCACGAAAGCGCCATCTACGATTATAAACAAGGTTGGACACAGATGTATATTTTGTAATGCGCATTTCTTTAAAACTGAGGCTATCTTCTTATACGGTTACGTAGCACAAATTTGCCTTTTTTAAATAAATTTAAACTATTTGTCCAACACAGACTTCACAAAATTTCTATCAAATGACTACATTGTGAAAGGAAAGTAACTTTGCACATCAATCATGGACGAACTACGACCGTTCTAGTACATATGTACGATCTTGAGTTGTTGTCATGTCACAGAAACCTAGTTCTTTGGTATGTTTGTTAAAATTCTAAATCGATAACAAGTTGTCTGCATAATCTTATTTCGTTTGTATGATTGTAACTTTTTTGTAGTCATCTCCCCCAGAAAAAAGTATGCCAAACTCGGATGTAACTATTTACATGTAGTCTTAAAATGTACATTTGTTATGTATATGATCTTTTCAAATGTTTGATCAATTGAATTTCCGAGTCTAGATTGGTATTTGTAAGAGTATTTTTGAGGCAGTTCAATAATGTTTCCCTTTTATTTTGGTGTGTCCTCAGTCCCTGTTGGCTCTTTTCATCGAAGTTTGTCTTTTCTTATTATCATCTTCTTTAAAGGGATTTCTTTTATAAAGGAGATTGGTGTCACAATATGGTTGTTGATGTTTTTAAAGTGTTCGGTATCATTTGTTTAAGCATTCAAGCATTCCCATCATCCAGTGTCTAACACCTTCATCATTAATGGTAGCATGGCAATCTCTTTACTTCATGATAATTAATTATGAACAAGTACGACAAACACACTATTAATTAATTATAAACGATGCTGTGTTCCATTAATCCGCGTTTCACGTTGGCTCACGGGGAGATTATACATGTACCAATGCTTTAACACGAAGACTGGCGTTTGGTAAAGGTGTACATATTTATCAGATTGCATCGATGCGGACGGTAAACTGGTCTGCCGCCCCAATGTCCGTAGCTTGACCGACTTCGTTCATGTATACAATGTACTTCGGAAATGTACATCACAGTAGCACTCTAGAAATAGCCACCGGTATGTATCGCATGAGGTGAATCGGATTATCCGTCAATCAAAACACGTGTTTATCTCAATGAGCATGCGTTGTACATGTACACTCATGCCATCTTTCTCAGGTATACATTGATACGAAACACAGTGGAACCTCCATAGTGCAGACACTTTGTTCCTCAAAATACATTACTTAAAGAATACTGAATCGTCCAGATTAAAAAAGGTGTCCCTTTCTTGATACGTGTAATTTAAATCAGTTGAAATTCGTTTTATAAGGTTCTACTGCAAAATTGAGCGTTCCTTTTTCAGAGTATTATTCTTGAGTATCGGAGCCATATTTACGAATTATCTCTTTAAATTGTTATAAATGCATACAGTATGAATCTGAGTTTACTGACACCTGACTATAAGGACATCATGGTGAATCCGACATCAGTGTAACACCGGTTTCTTTACTATAACCCTCGCATTACCGACATATTGTCATATATGACCCAATGATAAAGTCCGAGTGATGTCGGTATGGGAAGGTATAACGGCACGCTGTCGTAACTGACCAATCCCCATTGATGAACATTGATATCGGTTAATTCGGTAAAGACAAATGTAACTTGTGTATTATGGAACGTGTCACACTTTATCATTACACGGCCGGTCTGTATAAAACCTCGAATATTTATGTGACAGTACGTATACATCGCCGTTAGTGACAATCTTATTTATAAACGCGTACCTACAGATAATTACAAAACATCAATTATAAATGAACCCGTGCGTATAAGTGGTGGTGTCAATTTCATCTTTCAAGTCACTCATAGATAGCGATTGGTCCAAGATAGCGATTGGTTCCCGTCACTATCCTCCTATTGATCCAGCATCAGATGCAGCTATATCACACCGTCTCAGAGAGCTCGCAACCTCTCCTTCTCTCGTCACATCTCCCAGCAACAGGAGAGAAGACTGTTCTAGTAATCACAAATGTGTTTTCTGGAGTAAATGTCCGATGGTCGTTAATATGAGAGGCGGTCCATTGCGCATCGATCACCTACTTTCACTTGAACAAAATAATAACTAAATTAGCAGGTGCTAGCTTTCCAATCTACAACTGTGTTCTCTAAGTGTTTCATGGCTGAATTGGTCCCGGCGATTATCCAGTGTGTGTCGGCGTAAAGAACCTTTAATGAAGCATTTCTTTATGGCAGGGAACTTTTTTTTGTTCGACACTGCTAATGAATAGTAGAAAAATTACGTCTCAAGGCGTTAGAGGAAAACAAATAATTTTTGTTCGACCCGTTCATGTATAATATATTTATTGGCATGTGTTTTGTTGTTTGAAGGTAATCAACGTTTAAAAAAAGTGGGAGAGACAATAGCAAATGTGTTAACAACATTCTAGGTCAATAGAGCTTACATCTGTAAAGTCGTTCACTACCTGGTTTGACTTGCATCAGTTCGGAGTTTTCATCATTCGCCCCGGAGGGAATGTGTGGAGAGCTGCTGAGAACAAAGCAAATGTATTAACCATACGACGACTGTTACGGCCGTGAAATGATAAATTGCTTTCTGTTGGACGATGAAAGGCCTTGTGCATTTTTACTGATTCTATGAGTTGTGCTGTGATTTGGCCTGCTACAAGGACAAAAGTTTCGGAAGGATCGTTTGGAACTGATCCACGTGAATCGAGTCGTTGTTTCTCTCCACACTCCTACCAGTAAGTGACTGGACACTTTTAACTGGTCCTTTGTTGAAAGGTTGACGCCAAGATATTGTCCGTTCTTGTAAGCGGGGTCAGGAACATCTTACGGTAGGTGTTAATATCTATAAACATCAGTCCATATTTAGGAATCCTGGAACATAATTTGACTAGATTAGATTTCCCTGTATAACAGCCCCGCGGATACCATATAACTCTTTCTCATTACTCTATTACTTAGTATTAATTAGACAATCATGGAAAATGTGTAATTTATATATTTATGTAACATCATTAAAATGGCGATAAAGGTTTACTTGACATGGAGTGTTTTAAAATATATAATTATTTTTGTAGTGATATGTTTGCCTGTCTTGTTAACGGTATGCATTTGGCGTCATTAATGATGTCACTGTTATTACGTTCAATACACATTTGGTCACTGTAAAAATTATATAATATTTCTTGTAACCTGCTTTCAAATTAAGGAAATAGGAACTTCTGAAAATAAATACAAATCCAAATAAATAACCCTGTTGTTAGGTACAAATTCAAATAATTTGCCCTGAAATTAAATACAAATGCAAAATTATTTATCATTCTTTTTTTTAACTTGAATAATGTGTTGGTTATTTACATAAATGTAGGTTTATTTCGGGTTTATCTTTTATGTTTATCTTAAACGATTTGCCAGACAAGCTTGGTTCCATGTATAGTGAAGACTTGTATATTTAATATCGAAATGAGTGTTACGAAATCCCATGATTATGTTTGTTTTATTTGAATAAATAATAAATAAATGTGACAGTCCGTTAGAAGCATGGTATGCACAACAGCTGAAGAGTCCATATTTTGCCTACTCTCGTCACCGTATCGTAAATCCCAAATTACACGCCATTTAGATGAGAGTTCTATCTAATTGCTTAGCTACGCCACTTGTATCCGATGTCAATGATGTTCTGAGATTGCTGTACGTATCTGATGGGCAAGGAATTTCCGTCTATGTACTGCCTTGCTTGTTGTCAGCTCCTACTCGACTGAAGTTTCGCTCGCTCCTGTACTTGCCAGAAGTTATTTATCAAACAACCGTTATGCCTGACGTTATCAAAGATTCCATCCGAAACTGAAGAAATGACGAGCGCCTTTTGAAATAAAAGACATCCGATTTGTAGATAAATAACTAATAGTTTACCCATTTCACATAAAATATATAAAAAAAAACAACAAGTTTTTTAAAACGTTATTGATTTATTTGGTATCAAGATAACAAGACGGCCGACTTTGCTAAGCGATATTGAGAGAAAACTCTGCAGAAAGCCAGACAAATAGTATAAAGACATGCGCTATTGTTTTGTACAACATATTTCTTACATTGATAAGACATTCATCTCATCTGTCACATTCGCATCGTCAAAAGATTCGTGCATTTGACTAAAATCACTATATATAAAGCGGCAGATATCCTTGTTAATAAGTTTTTCCAGACAACAATTATAACATTAACTGTCTAGGCTCCTTACAGTGTTAATAGTTATTGCTGATTTGACCCAATTATCATTTCATCAAGTGCCACTCAAATTGTGCCGACGTTACTCTTGAATATTACAGGGCAAACAATGGTATAATCATCATAAACATTGGATGTCAAATTCAATAACGGCCAAACTTATTATTTTCATTTACCAATTCACTTCAGGTATTTTTTCCTGATGAACAAATAATTACATCCCTTTGTTCATAAGCATTGCAAGAAACTGAAAACAGTTTTGTATTCTTGGGCTTGTAGTTGTACGTCTTGTTTGACGTTACGAAGCTACCGTGATTGATAGCTTTCCCTTTGTGTAGCTGTTATATTTTACAGAAAACAAAGGGGGAAAACAACGTACGAACTGAATTGGGTTTTTGTTTGTTTTGCTTTTATTTTCACTTAATTTTCTCTGTCAGAGATTCATTTGTGGACATTTCAGTAATCAAATTAACGTTTGTGAGTCATACATATTCCTAAAATATACAGAAAAGGCATATTGACCTTGCAGTTGATGTGCTACATAAACACACCAAAATTAAGATCAGATTTCGAGATCTTATTTGTTTCGCTAATTGTTTCTACAATCTGCAAATATCTGCAATACTACCCTGTAATATTGTGTGATGTGTTGCCCTTGTAAGACAATTCAATACACTCATTTGTGAATGTCTATGGAATAAGATTACGAAATCAATGCTCGCATTAATACGGCATTTACTGATGCAAGAGTCAGTATTTTCAGATAAAAAACATAGTTACGTCATGTCAATGCAAACTTGCACAGTAATAATAATTATTATTATACAGCATTCAAATAGTGCCCTATATAATTTGTAAAATTACTCTAAGGCGCTTTACAACATATGGATAATAGTAATGGTTATAATTGTGAAAACAAACAACAAAAGCTTGCAATCACTTTCATACATTTAACAAGCAATGTGCACATGATTGAACAAATAAAAGGGTGGTATTTACATGACGTCTTTGCAAAGATTCTTAAATGCAGACGTGAAGAGGTGAGTTTTTCTGTCACTTTTGAACTTTGCCAGGGTATTTTACTTCCTAATTGCAGATGGTAAGCTATTCCACAACGTAGCCGAAACCCTCCCAAAGCATCTGTTTTCGTAGGTCACAGTACGAGATTTTGGGACACACAACAAAGATTCTGACTCCGACCGCAGTGATCTTGACGGCTGATACAGGGTAACAAGTTCCTGTAGGTACTGAGGAGCTGTTCCATTCAGTGCCTTGTATGTGTATACCAGAATTTTGTACTGCGACCTGTATCGTACAGGTAACCAGTGCAACGAATAAAGCGCAGGTGTGATGTGCTCTCTCTTTCGAGTACGAGTAACTAGCCGTGCTGCAGTGTTCTGAACCCTCTGCAGACGACTAGTTAGTTTGTCAGATATACCACAGAGCAGGGCGTTACCATAATCCAACCGAGAGGTAACAAGTGAATGCACCAAAATCTTGCATGCATCTGCAGTTAGAAACTGCCGAATACAGCCGATGTTCCTGATCTGGTAGTAACAGGATTTGGCAATAGCGTTCACTTGTTTCTCCATGTTCAGAGAACTGTCAAAGTATACCCCTAGGTTTTTAACAGCTGGAACAGTCTCAATAGTTCTGGCACCAACCTTGAGCTGGAGAGCCATTGTTTGCTGACACTTTGGGGAAAAGACGATTAGTTCCGTCTTTTCCTGATTAAGTTTAAGCATGTTGGCGTTCATCCAGATACTGATATTTGTCAGACAAGCTTCCAGACTTTCTGAGACTGTATTCCAACTGTCCTGTGGTTTTATGACCATGTAAATTTGTGTGTCATCAGCATAGCAATGATAGCGAAGGCTATGGCGACGACAAATCCCTCCCATCGGTTTGGAGTACATACAACATGTTCGTGGTCCTAACACCGACCCTTGAGGAACCCGAAATCTAGTACTTTGTCATGTGAGGTGGCAGATCCGATGTCAACACACTGTCGTCGGTATCAGTCACTCCATAAGAGTGTTACAGACGTTTATAAAGTATGCCATAGTCGATGACGTCAAATGCAGCTGACAAGTCCAGCATGACAAGCACCGCTCTGCACTTGTTATCCATTGCAGAAGCTATATCACTATGTACACGTAGGAGGGCCGTCTCAGTAGAGTGTCACATGCCGTAGGCCGATTGCATGTTGTCATGGAGACTGTTTGCATGGAGATGAACCTCTAAACACCGGGACGCAACCTTCTCCAAGATCTTAGACAGAAAAGGCAGATTTGAAGAAACTGGGCGGTAGTTTTTCAACTCCTCCTTGTCCATTCCAGGCTTTCATAACAATGGTCTGATATGTGCCTTCTTGAAACATAATGGAACCTTTGACTCAACCAATGATTTATTCATGATTGCGGTTATCAAAGGAAGCAGTGCTTCAAGACATGGCTTTAATAGGTCTGTAGGCAGTGGATCAAGCTCACAGGACTTCGATTGCGAGGTCATGATAATGTTGCGCAACTCGTCCTGGGTTGTTGGTGAGAGCTTTTTCAATGGTTCCCCATCAAATGCAATGTCAGCAGTCATGACAGAGATGTCGATGTCAGCAAAGGTGTTCACTTCCGTAATATTTTTCCTGATTGAGCTGATTTTATTCATAAAGTAATCACTGAACTTGCTTGCTAAGTCTTTTTCAGAATTACAGCTTGGTAGGATAATTTCACCTTTCTGTCCCATTAGGTTTTTGTGAGTCTAAAAAGTTGTCTTTTATCCTAGCCACATTCTTCGATTTTTTCCGAATAATAAGCCTTCTTTGACTGAAAGAGCAGTGAACCAACTAGCCGACATTGCTCTCTATAAATCAGTTGGTGAACGGTGAATTTGGTCCGTCGCCACTGCCTCTCTGCTTGTCAGTGTAGGACATATACGCGGACATCTATCATTTGTATCTTTAATGGAAGGTTTCCATCCTATTTACATTACCAATTATCTGTTTTAGGTGTTGAATTGATTTAATTGTCACTTCATTTGTTTTCCGATTATCTATATTAAGTGTAGGTATAATTGATTGTCACTTCACTCGAATCCCGATTATCGTTATTATGTGTAGGTTCGATTTAACTGTCTCTTCACTTGTTTCCCGATTATCTATATTAAGTGTAGGTATAATTGATTGTCACTTCACTCGAATCCAGATTATCGTTATTATTTGTAGGTTCGATTTAATTGTCTCTTCACTTGTTTCCCGATTATCTATATTAAGTGTAGGTTTGATTTAATTGTCACTTCATTTGTTTTCCGAGTATCTATATTAAGTGTAGGTATAATTGATTGTCACTTCACTCGAATCCCGATTATCGTTATTATGTGTAGGTTGGATTTAATTGTCTCATCGCTTGTTTCCCGATTATCTATATTAAGTGTAGGTATAATTGATTGTCACTTCATTCTAATCCCGATTATCGTTATTATGTGTAGGTTCGATGTAAATGTCTCTTCACTTGTTTCCCGATTATCGATGTTTAAAGTTGGTTTGTCAACTCGGCTGTCAACACTTATAATCTTCTTTTAGTGTAGATTCGTCGTTACTAGCATGCAA